CGTAAATTCCATCTTCTCGTTGATCGCCTCGAGGAGGACTTTGGGGTCGACCACACAGTGATCCACTATGTTGGCGCGATCCTGCCACAGTCCACGACCATGAAGGACGAGTATACGGTCGCCGATTTGCGCAAGGAAGAAGTCGTTAAGCAGATTACGACCATTTCTACGTTCTATATCCCGCCACGTGGTCTGCCGTTGGTTGATAAGGAGATGGAAAGGAAGTTCTCTGAGCCTTCTGACCCAGAGTCTCCTCTCGGGCAGAGGGTCACCGCTTTGCATGCCTACCCCCGTTTGAAATGGATCAGCGCTGGCTCGCCCACTCCCCCTGCGTACGGGCCTGTCGAGAACATAGCAGTCAGCCGCCTTGCGAACTACATCATACCTAACGACAAGCTGTTCTTGAGGGGTTCTCAGGCACTTCGTCAGTTCATTGTGGACCTTGCTCTTCAACCAGCGCTCCGTGAACGCTACAAAGAGGACCCCGCCTCAGTGGTTGATGCCTTACCGGGCGTGGCACCTGAGGAGAAGTTTGCGCTTACATTGTATCATCCCGCAGCTGTCATGAGGGTCATGCAGGGGACTCGAGAAGCCATTACGAACAAAGAGGTCCTGACGCGCGAGGAGATTGCCCAAGGATTAACACGGGGCCCGGGCATAGAGGGATTAATTTTTCAGCCTATTTTTTCGTCAGTAGGGCTCGGGAATGGAGGATTTCCGTTCACTTAGGCTTGCATTAGGCATTTTTGCCCGATTCATTTGACCTTTTGTTTCTGACTTCTTTTCTCGTTAATTGTCTCTCGTATGCAACATCCAAGTCGAATGTATAGTAGTAGCTCCTGCAGTGATCCATAACTGCAACGAACAATTCCAAATTTGTGTGGCAAATATGTGCTCCGGGTAAATCTCTTCTCCGTATGCTCAGGATCTCAGATCTGAGCGGACACTATACTTGCGCCTCTGATAGGAGCCACCCGTCGAACTGGAAGGAGGTGGCTGGGACGGAGGATGTTTGGGCGGAGAGGGGGTAGAGGCCGCGTGATAACAATGCAGTGCGAGTCGTAGCTATAGCTTTCAGACGCTTCATCTAACTCTGATTCAAAGAATTTATATTTATTGAACAACGAATGATAAGACGGGATTGTCGAGAAACCATGAACTTGTCGAAATATTACATGTATTACTCTCCGAATTGAATTTTTGTGAAAAACTTTGATTCCAAAGGTCGGATGATTCGGGTACGGGGAATCGAACCCCGAGCTGCCGCGTAAGACATCAAAGGAATATTGTTTGTGAGAGGCGGCAATGTTAGCCGTTACACCATACCCGATTAAGATGTTTCAACAAGAAGATTCAGCTGAATCGTCAACGATGGCGAGAGATCTGTCCGTGATTCTATAACTTAAGGGTCGTGACAAAGGAATGGCTACTTATGCGGGGGCATTGCAACGTCAGATATCGGCAGGAATGAAGAATTTCTTGATTATATGCAGCGCGTGACGTTGACACAGTTGGATTATAATCTCAACGTTCTGTTTCTTTTTCGAAAAGGCAGAACTAGTTCTATGTTGAATCGGGTTGAAATTTTTGAGAGAGTTCAGTGGTATGTGTAGTTTCATTCTTTCTGTGTAGAATGGACTCTGTCTGATACGGTTGTGAATGTACCGACTGTAAAGTTGACGAAGGAATGAGATGAGGTATCTGGAAGAGGTGTACGTCCCACCTGAGCATTTGTAAATTGTATAAATTATATTGCGCATTGGTTACAGACTGTTCTAGTCTGAAGTGAAGTAGAATGGAGGGGAGGAGAAACTCAATAAAGAAATGTCATGGTGAAGAGCGGCCGCCAGAGGACTGGGATTTGCGATATGTGTTTACAAGAGAGTGAAGCGTCTGTTCCAGCCGCGGTACGTATTTAATTGCAAGGAAATGTGACAAGTCTACCTGATCGCTAGGAAAATCCGTTTTTTGACTAGTGGTCAAGTAAACGCTATTGCATTCCTCGCTATGATATTGGAATTAGGCATGTCGAATATTTCATTCGTAGGCCAATCGTGTCATTTTCGGTGTAACAAGTGCTCGGTGATTGCATAAGTGATGCGATTCAGATTCTAGAGACAGAAGGGGTGAGAACGAGATTTGAAGAACGCTTTATGAAACGGATTGTGGGTAAGCGAGGTGACGCAAGATCATTATATTTCGTACAAGATACGCCGGCAGCGAGAGCCCATAGAGACGGAACGGGCCCTATAGGTTTCTGGCGCGTCCCCGAGCAGCCTAAAGAACTAATAAATTCCCAAGGTTAAATTTCCTTTGCCCAGAACCAAACTTCTCAAACTTCTCAAATCAGCACCCAACAATTAACCTCATAATATCACAACCATCCCTACGTTCCACCCACACCAGACCAATCATCATCGTCCGATCCAACAAAAAATCCACCCTCTTCATTCCCTTGCTCCTCACTTCCTCCGACGAATCAGGGCCCTTCATACAACGCCTGATAAACGCCGCGTTCGCCGCATACTGCCTCGCGCCTCCCAACGCGTCCCAATCAGACTGAGAAATAAGCTGATGAAGATGATCATATAAGCTCTTAAGCACCTCTCCGAGCGTGATGGGGCTGACGACCGTGGAAACGCGCGGGACATCGCACGGCCATTGCGGGATTGCATCAATGAGGATCTGTATGCGAGTTCTGGGCGGATGAGTCGCGGGTTCGGCGTATGCTGGGAGGTTGCCTAATTGTCCATACATGCACGGCGCGTAGCGCGATAAGGAGAGGTCAAAGACGAAGTCGGTACGAGGACAGTGGGCGTCGATCCAGGGGTTTATCAAGGTGTTGGACAGATCCGAGTCGGGGGTGCAGATGGAGGGACAGTACCAAGTACCTGGAGGATACCATGGCGGAAATTGTTTACGTTGTGGTGGGGGCAATAGGCAACTTTGTTGGGGGAGAGGAGTGCATGGCGTTGAAGCAGGAGTACATGGCGTTGAAGCAGGAGGGAACGGTACTGGGCAGCAGTAAGAACATGTCCCTGAGCAGTATGGGTATGGGCAACGAGGAAGTCGTAAGTCGGGATTGAAAGCAAGACACGATCGTGGAGTCCAAGGGGTGTACAGACAAGGGTAGACGTATCTTGGAGGATAGCAATATACCGGAGTGAATGGTCGCCCAATCATGGTGAATTGAGCCCAGTTTGGGCGTCGAGAGCGATAAATGATGCTGTTGCACCGTCCAGGGGTCTTTTATAAAGACTCTCATCCTTGCGCGCCCATATGCATCGTAAGCCATATAAAGGTTAGGGCATGGATCCAGGACCAAGGGTGGTAAAGTTGGGAAAACTTCTAAAGTTGAAGCACCGCCCTGATTTCAACGAAAGTTTGAAGAGGTGGCTAGAAGATGACTAGGTATACATCAAATTATTGATGAGGTGATGCCCGTGAGAGTCGATCAGAAGGGGCTGTGGGCGGCTAGACCGTGACGGGCGCTTCACGAGCTTTCCTCTCCCAATGGATAGTTTAGCATGACGTAGTGTCACCGCAGCGGCTCAAATGGCATGCATAGCTTCCTGTCGAGCCCACGCCGTACTACTAGTAATGATGGTCAAGAAACGTATAACCCAGACCTCTGGCAATGAAGCCTAAAAGCAGAGATGCTGATAGAGTTTGGATTCGATTGACCTCGTCCATTTGGGGACATGACAATAGGAACGGATGGTCGCAAGGAAGGACTAGCGGCTTCCCACAATGCGAGTCGTATGGAAAAGCGCAGTAGGATCGTACGGGCCGACTGTATGATGAGAGTCTAGATCGATATCGACATGGCTGAGGACGGAGAAATCCAGAAGCCGACTCGGAAGCCGAGGGTGGCTTCAAGCATGAGCTCAGAGAATGACCAAGACTGGTATCTAAGAACCCAAGGTCTGTATTATATGTATACTTACAAGGGTGATAAGCATCATCATGATGGATGGCCGAAAATGCAGTTCTGGTCACGAGAACAAACAACGTGTAACGACTGTGAGTGTTTCTTCCATAACTTTCCATATGTTTTCTCATTCCTTCGTAACCTGGTACCGGCAACTACTTATGACTGATAAGGAACATACTCCAAGATTTATTCCGGTTGATCTAAGATTCTAGTGTGACAACACCGTTCCCGGCGGCCCGAGGTCTACTTTTTAAGTAGATGAGGTTAAATAGTTTTACTCCCACTTTTCTGGTACCCCCCTCACACACAGCACTTTTACATACTCCATCCTCGTTAGCGCTATCCTCAGTTCAAGATCCGATCCATGTAAAAACAAGACATAGACGAAAAAAACAAACCACAAACAAAAATCATACCAACCAAAAACATCTCACAAGTGTCTTGAAATAACAAACATTCCCCACACCTCGTCTATGTACATACTATTACAAAAAGATCATCGATCATCCTTCAATCTACACCTCACCCAGCTCCCCAAACCCCCAAACATCCAACACAGTCTTCCCCTCCCTCCTCCCCGCAACAACACACACGTCCCCCGCCTCCTCTCCTCTCTCCCCCTCTCCTTCCTCTCCACGGCCCCCACCCCCGCGCGCCCCGCCCACAAACCCAACCCTCCAAATAGGCCCCTCCCCATCCCCATCGAGCCTCCTCACAAACTTCCCAGTCCACGTCTCCCACACGTGCACGCACCCGTCGTTCCCGCCCGTCACGAGGAAGCGCCCGTCGAACTGGAGAGAGGTGACTGAGGACGTGTGGGCTGGGAGGCGGTAGAGCGGGGCGTAGGGTCCGGGATTGGTGGTGGGGGTGGGGGTGGGGGTGGGGTTGAAGGGTCTCGATTTCGGTTTGGGTTTGGGTTTGGGTTTGGGTTGTGGTTGTGGTTGTAGTTGTGGTGCATGTGTCGGTGCGGGTGTCGGGAGTGAATTGTGCGAGAGGGATGGTGAGAGTGCGTTGAGTGATGGGGAAGATGAGACCGACAGAGAATGTGATGAAGAGCTCGAGGATACACATACACCGTCGTCATCGTTCGTATTCTTCTTCTTCTCCTCTCCTACTCCTACAGAAAGCGGAGGCATCAACACCTCAGCGTGCTCCGCAGAACCCGAACAACAGAGCCCATTAGCAAGCGAGAACGTGATAACGCTCCCGTCCGACCCGCCCGTCACGAGCAGTCGATGCCTGCGCGAGAGCTGGAGCTGACACACGAGGGACGTGTGGCCTTGCAAAAGGGCCTGGCAGATCCTTTGTAGGATGGATAGCGAGGATCAGGACAAGGAACAGAGGGAAAGGAAAACGATTTACTACTGACCCAGTTTCGGCGTCCCATACACGGATTGTGGTGTCTAGTCCTCCGGTCGCGATGAGCATCCCGTCAAACGCGACAGAGTACACCTGATGATAGTGTCCCCTCAATACACGGAGACATTCGCCCGTATCGAGGTCCCATATCTACAAACAAACCCCGCTCGGTTAACTCGTGTGCACGAAAGAAAGAACCAACACACCCGACAGGTCGTATCATAACTCCCACTGACGGCCCTCGCCCCATTCACATCGAGGCACCGCACACTGCTGCTGTGCCCCTCGAGCACCCTGAGCGCGCGCCCACGCTGTATATCCCACGTACGCAGCGTGCCGTCGCGCGAGCCCGTGATCGCGATCGGGCGGTGGTGGAGGGTACGCATGCACCGGATCGTGGACGTGTGGCCCGGGAGTGTGTATATGCAGTGTCTGCGAGGGGGCATAGACATGGTATAGAATAGTATGAAATCAGAGTTCGAGTTATGATTAGGATGGAGACGTACCCGGATTTAACGTCCCACACGCGCACGACCTTGTCGCACCCCCCGCTCACGACGAGTGCGTTCGGCTGGCCCCAGCCCTCTGACGCGAAACATGGACTGCTCTGGCGCTCCGGGACGTATCTTTCTTTCCATGTGCTCCTTGGGTTCGTAGGTTGATCGTCTGTCTCGCCGTCTACGGAATCAGAATACGAGTCAGTGTCAGTGTCAGAGTTGGAGTTGGAGTCAGAGTCGAGCTTCACTGTCTCGTCGTCGTCGTCGTCGTCGAGGTCGTTTTCAGAGCCGAGTCCCACGGCTGTCCTTAGCACGGATGGAAGAGACTTCCACAACCCATCGTCCTTCTTCCCTCCCCTCGCTTTCTTCCGCGTCCGCGTTCCCTCCCTCCCTCTCCCAAACGCACTGACCAAACAAAGCCCCCAGACGCCGCTCTCGTGCCCTACAAGTGTGCGCGCCAGCACGCCGGTGCGGGCACTGAATATGTGTATGCGGGAGCTGGCGAGGCCGACGACGATCCAGGAGGGGTCGAGTGCGATG